AATATAATATAATATAATATAATATAATATAAAAAATATATAACTATTACTTCTATACGGCCAGTTTGGGAGAATTGTGCGAGACTCGACCCAAAGAATATTCGTATACTTGACATGCATAAATAAAGAAATATATGCATATTTATCAGTCTAGACATGCATATCAACCCAGCAAATAGATGGTTAAATGTATATCTATCAGATATATAGACAGATATGCCTTTATTTCTGCATCTGTATTTATGAAAATTGATTGGGTCGGGCCTGGCACAATTTTAACAAACCGGCTGATTGACCTTGCACACAAACACTCGCAAACGCACGTACTCACAAACACGCTTTCATGTACGCACAGTTATTTCAATTTCATCATTATTAGTTTCATTGGTATTGTTATTATAATTATGATAATTAATATCATTATTATTATTATTGTTGTTGTTGTTGTTATCATTATTATTGTTATCATTATTATTATTGTTATTATTATTGTTATCATTATCATAATCATTATTATTATAATTATTATTATTATTTTATCATTATATTATTATTATTATATTATCATTATATTATTTTATTACCATTATTATAACTATTATTATCATCGTCATCATCATCATCATCATCATCATTATTATTATTAATATTATTATCATTATTATTATTAGTAGTAGTAGTATATGTTGTTGATATTATCCTTGTTTTTGCTAGTACTATATCCTTGATGGTAAACGTGCATATTACGATTACATATTCTTTGTCATTGGTGTATCTTTCATCAGTATCATCCTTGACATTATTATCATCGTCATTCTCATTAGTAATAGCAATTAGTCCTTTATTATTATACTAATTGCTACTTTTATTGTTGTTGCTGTTACTATTGTTCATTATTATCATTGTTTTATTACTTTTATTATCCTTTTTATACTTACTGTAGTTATGAATATGATCACCATTATTATTCTATGGAACTATTGCTGATTATTAATTTGGCCGAAGGAAAACCGTTTAACATGTGAAACTATTCAGTTTTATCAAGTTTTTGATACCATCAAATAAATATCATTTCCTGAAATAATTACGGATATTGTCATTGTTGTTCTTGCTAGTCTTATCAGTATTATTTCTATGAAAAGATCATTACTGTTATCTGATGTGTCGTTACGATTATTGGAAGTCAAGTTATCTTTATACCCGTATAACCGCCCCATCTTGATGAAAATCCAAGTTGGCAACCTCAGACCAGCCTCATCTTTATTCATTGCAAATATATATTTTTTTCTGGTTTCGTTTCGACTTTTCTTTTCCATTGTCATTACCTGAACCATTTTCAAAGAAAATACACTGAATTAACACGAAGTATAAACTATGGCACAAATTGTTGAGGTACAGAAAATGGGGAGCTAATGACATCACCACATTTAGCCCATGAGATATCTGATATAGCTAGACACATAATTATTTGTATAAGATGATTAATATTGTTATACTTACCAGAAGTAAAACCAAAATTTCCCTCTCTTATTCATGATAACTAAGTTTTCCATACCATTAACAGCCGTCAGAATACTCTCAGCAAAGTCAGTTTCATTATTGGGTTCAAAAGGCCAATGGAAGTGGGGCTACCTGGTTATACGTACCATGAAATTCAACTAGAACTTCTAATATAGATTCATTTAATCATTTCATTATTTTGATTGCCAACTTGGTATTATTCCTTTATTCTTGTATTTATTTTCTAAAAGTGGGTTGTCCAATAGAAAAAAAAAGTTAAAGCACAAATATTGTTTACATATATTTTTTATTATTTTCAATATAAAGTCACAGAAATGGAATTTTATATAATGTACATATGTATCACACTTGCATCTTTTCCAACATGTATATGTATATTTGCAGAAGTGTTTACATATCATACATACAATACATTAATGCACACATGTTTCTCCCTCCTTATAAAGTCACATTTACACCAAACGAAAGCCAATGATTTGTATTATCATTTTATATTTATAAAATTGATAATAGAAACTTCTCAGTATAAGTGAAAAATGTACTGTAGAAATACTTTACTTCCAGTGTACATATTGTCAGAATAAGTAATTGCTCATTACATAACTTATTTGTAACCATCTATCAAAGTATATCTATTATGGAATATCAGTTAACAAACCATAAAAAATAGAATATAGAATTATAATGCTAAATAACATGTTACTTTACTCTACCAGTTTCGTGATCACAAAGCCATATCGAAAATATATGTAATCTTTCCATGTTTTGCTTTGTTTACGCAAAAACTGAAGATTTAACACTATTTCACTAAGCTGCAATATACACATGCCACATAATAAAGCACTTGCATATCACTCTGATGCACCAGCTTATCTATAATTTTACATATATATATATATATATATATATATATATATATATATATATATATATATATATATATATATATATATATATATATATATATATATATAATGAATGCAATAAATCACAATTCAAATTATGATGTGATTGTGTGTGTGTGTGTGTGTGTGTGTGTGTGTGTGTGTGTGTGTGTGTGTGTGTGTGTGTGTGTGTGTGTGTGTTGTGTGTGTGTGTGTGTGTGTGTGTGTGTGTGCGTGTGCGTGTGCGTGTGCGTGTGGTGTGCGTGTGCGTGTGCGTGTGCGTGTGCGTGTGCGTGTGCGTGTGCGTGTGCATGTGTGTGCTTGTGTTGAGTGTGAATGTAAGTAGAGAGAGAGAGTGTTTGTTTGTGATGTGTGTGTGTGTGTGTGTGTGTGTGTGTGTGTGTGTGTGTGTGTGTGTGTGTGTGTGTGTGTGTGTGTGTGTGTGTGTGTGTGTGTGTGTGTGTGTGTGTGTGTGTGTGTGTGTGTGTGTGTGTGTGTGTGTGTGTGTGTGTGTGTGTGTGTGTGTGTGTGTGTGTGTGTGTGTGTGTGTGTGTGTGTGTGTGTGTGTGTGTGTGTGTGTGTGTGTGTGTGTGTGTGTGTGTGTGTGTGTGTGTGTGTGTGTGTGTGTGTGTGTGTGTGTGTGTGTGTGTGTGTGTGTGTGTGTGTGTGTGTGTGTGTGTGTGTGTGTGTGTGCATGCATGCATATATAAAATACAGAACGTAAAAAAAATCACAATTTAAATCAATTATTCCTAATAATTCCAAGGAAATAACAAATGCTTTCTTATATATTACATAATTTTAAGAAATCAGTTATACTTTGCACTACAAACATAGACTTTAACATCAAAAATATAATTCACCTTTTTTCTTTGTAAAATCATATAATGCAATTAAAACCAGTTTAGAGGTGTAGAGAAATGCTATGCAGTCCTAAAGACACCATGCTTCTCAGGTAATGCAAATTTAATCATCAATAGGAGAAATATATTAACCAGTTGAGAAAATGACTGAATAAAAAATAAACAAAAATGCATATGCTTTGGCTATTATCTTTTACATCAAACTGAAATTTCTAAACATTACATTTTAGACAAGTTCAATGCAACAATTATTTTTTTTACATATATAAAAGTGATACAATAAGTAAATGCTATCCATTATTCCCAAAATACGTGCATAACTAATATTCATTTGATAAGGAAAGCCAGCCACAATATGAAAAGAAAATGAGCATAACATTTTGAACTTCTCAAGTTATTTGGTTATTTGCTTTTACGAAGAGTAACTCTCGATGAGTTAAAAAAGTTACACTCAATTTCCTTCCGTATTGTGCCTGTTCCCTTTCATCTTTGTGTACACATTCCTATGTTTGTTAATCTTAATATTCAACAGTACAATATGTTGATCTTTTAATTATCATAGTAAGGTAGATAACTGAATTTTGATGCTTAAACCCATTCTTAACAGAAATGCAACCTTTCTAAATTAGTAGAGCAAAAATGATCTAATAAACTACATTCAGATACATGTTACAAATAAATATGATACAGGATGCAAATAAATATTTGAATATTTTGGAGATAAATCAACACCATGCTCATGCGAAAAGTAGTCACACCAGATTCACTTTTTTTTGTTCCTTTTTTTAATGCTCTTACTCCCATTCCGTATTGCAATATTTTTCAATGTCACCCGTACCAGATAATCTATAATCTACAGTGAAAAACTAGAAATTCATTATTAAACCTAAATAATTTCTGAATCTATCTACTGGATTAGCTAATATATTTTTAATCTTTACAAAACGTAAATTTCATTATTGTCTTCACGGCAAGTAACAGACTTTTTTTTTTTATTACATATGCTTCCTGTAAAAAAGAGAACTATTACCATCTGTTAGTAAACAATTACATCTTCAATCTGTTCATCATGGGTTAAATAGATCTTTGAAAACCTGAATAGTACGATATGGTTAATGAATTAGCATAAAAAAATCTACTTCATTATTTTCAATTAATTTATTATGGTCCAGTGTTTTGTCATGTCAAAATTTCAGGTACAAATCCATTATGAAATTTTAGTATTAACGATCAAGGGAACTTTTTATTCATGTGTTCATTATTCATATTAATATGAAAACTTTCTATAAACCAGACCTACACATGCTTACACAGATACACACTTACAAAATCGTATTATAGATAAAGATACATAATTGGAAATAACCTTGTAAATCAGATACATATCAGCCTTAATAATCAAGATAATTTAAGCTTTATACTTAACAAACTTTTAATCAATGTAACTGCAGTAATAAAATCAATTGCCAGACAAAAAATTCTGCAATGTTTTAGATATTTCTGCTCAAAAGCACTAAGGACATTATTGATATCAAGTCACAATAAGAACAGTATTATATGGCAGTCATTATAAACACGTCACATTTTTTCCTGTTTCTATGCTAATATGCAATAAAAAAATAAATGATTATGATTTCCCATGAATGAAATGAATCTCTACTTCACATATCCTAGTTTCTGTAATAATACCTGTCATCATAATATTACTGGTGTAGAAATAAAAACCTTGACAATCATTACAATTGTAGAATACTTTACTTTTAAAATATTATAAGTGAATAAAATGAAATACAACTGTATAACATAATTTGGCCAAAAACTCAAAGTGTATGAAAGTAAAAAAAAAAAAAAAAAAAACAGCCAAAACTCTCTTTTCAATGACATGGAGAAAAGAGTTCACGAAACTGTACAACTATGAAATACCAGAGTTATTTGTAAACTGCATTCTGTGGCACATGACATTTGCTTAAGCACTATGATATTATCCATATTCCTTTTCCCATTTTCAAGGCATGCAAGTTATAAACATGATATCTAATAAAGATGTCTGTATATATATGTAAATAAATTTCTTCACAACACAAAGGATCTTGCAGTAGTTGTTTGTCAATGTATAATCACAACCATAATTTTTTTCTTTTCTGCATAGACGGCAAATATAATTTCTGAATTCATCATTCACTTGCTACAAATCCATTTACATAACTTATAAGTGTATGAATGTAATATAAAGCACAATTAATTGCAATCAAGTTTTCAAAATGATCTGATGAGCACCACAGTAAAACTTTTTGAACATTATTAACTCATTATTACTAAAAAATATATGCATTTATATATCAGAATATATCTAACTCATATACTAGACATAATGAGACAGAAAATAAGTATTCTTCTGCAGCATTTGCCTATCTGGGAGGGTTCAGTTGTCCTCAAAGTCAAAGTTGGTCCTATATCCATCTGGACGTAAGGGACATGTTTTGCAGAGAACCATGCTTACTAAGCCGCAGGATGATGCGGTAGGGTGGCCAGTTCCTTTCCGCCCCGACTTTGATCCTAGCATGCTGACGTCAGCATACCAGTGCTCATTCACAGCTGAGTCGATTGAGAGGGGCAACCAGGCTCGAACCCAGGACCATGTGATTGCAAAGCCAGTGCTCTACCACTGAGCTAAGCCACCTCAGTTGTCCTACATGTATTAAATATAAAATAAAGTGTTATTTTCATTATACTTATTCCCTTTGAGTAATATGCTGAATCTTAATGAATGTCATCTTGTTTGCTTATACTTCATATGTATAAAATCCAGTATTGGATGAAAAGAAAATCATTTTAAATATCATCCCCAAATCTTTCTAGGCCCATTGTCAAACTGTCAGCATCATGTCCGAAATATTTAAGTCAAGAGGCTTTAATAAACACTAGCAACACAATTATACAATACAAGATTCATTCACGTACTTGGCAGAACTTGCCCGTCAACTTTTTGAGCACATCATAAAGTTGATCAGGAGCAAATACCACGTTTAAGATAGGAACACTGACGTATGTTGAGGTCAGTTCTGTAATCCTGTCTCCATATTTCACAGAAGGTACATGGTCTAAATAAATATACCTCTACCCACAAATAAACAATAATATTAGGCAAGTGAACCAAAGATTACACAGTTGGAAAATATTGCCTCTCTCTACCTAGATCACCACATCAGCTTGCTTCTAAGCCTACTTTGCATTCTAGTGCAGAGCTGTGCTTGTGTTAAAAGAGATTATTTGATGGTGCTTCACTGTATAAGGTACCAAGAAATCTATTTTTAGTACAACAGATGATTCCTCTTCCACATTCTGCTTTTTTTCCATTTTACTGATGTTCCTCTAGCATGATTTTTTCAATCTAACTATGAAATCTGGAGCATAATGACCCAAAACTAATTTATCATGAGATCATCAGACAGCAATTCGAAAATTCATAATCACCATTAGTGCTAGATACATGTAGTGCTCATAGTAGTTTTGTGTTAATTATTTTGTTTACACATTTATGACAAGCACTTAATCACCAAGAAGTCAATTACTAAACCTGCTTGATCTCACCTATTTATTCCATTCCTTGATTTCTTGTGAAAAACTAATTTTCCTCTAATACTATTAATATCATTATCAACAATGGTACTGTTATCATTATTATTTAATAAATCAAGAATGAGGTAAACAATCAAGCCTAGTAATTGATCATTTGGTGAAAAAAACTTTTCTGAAGCCATGCATCTGCAATCAAAATTAATAAACTAAAACCACAGTGGATTGGGTAAGTATGCAAGCATTGTGATTCTTAAACATGAACATCAGCATAACTAAATTACCTTTTTCTAATGAAAATTTTGCTCTTTCATTAAGGACATATAAAGTTGTCTTTATAGTTTAGTAAACTCTAAAATTATACTGCATATAATTTCTTATTAAACCCAATGTTTACTAAAAAAGCTGGAGTAAACTCAATGTAATATGTATAAAAAAAAACTAATAATAATAATTGCCCTCCACTTTTTTCCTTTCCTGTCAATTTTGGGGAATGTTTATATATGATCAAGGGCATGACTGTAATGCAAAACCTAGCTATGAACTATCCCTTTTATATTCACTTCAAAATTTGCAAAATGGTTGGAAACTTAGCGTTAGCTTTCAATGAAGATTCAAAAATTTTGTTACGAGAGAGCTACTATCACAGATGAAGGTCATTAACTGAAACAAGCGCCTGTCTTCCGATTTATCTTGAAAATATCCTCTTTTTTCAGGGAGACAGGCCACCACAGACACAAGTCAGAGTACCCAGTGTTCCAGAAGGATGCATGCCACAAGCACCGTATTAAATTCACCCAACTTGCTTGAGTTGCACTGACCTCCACAAGAATTTTGTTGTTCCCTGCTTTGCTTGGTTTATTTAGTAGCACATCAGAGTTCATCCACCCTACATAGGGCCAATTTCTTTCCTTTTCATATATTCTACATAATACATGAAAAATCATGAAGTCTGACTCCGGCAAAGTAAAATGCTTTTTAATAAAAACTAATCTCAAAACTGATATTTCCCCATAAGCAGAAAATCTTCATGTCATGGCAAATTTCATACTACAAAAAAATACCTTTTCTGTATAAAGTTCATACACATACATTTTTTTTCAGATTTTTAGCTTTTAATTTGCTTATTAAAAATACATATAACTCACAGAATACAATGATCAGTTATGTTTCCAAATCACGGCACCAAACAAGTTCCCATGACAATTTTTCTTTTCTTTTCTAAATCATGATCTATTTTTAGTCTTTTGTCTATCCATCTGCTTCTCTATCTGTCTGTTTTGTTTGTTTGTCTGTCTGTCTGTTTCCCTACCTGTCTGCATGTCTGTCTGATTTTATGTCTAAGTCCATATCTGGGTCTAGTGTAACTAAGGCCACATGCACTAATGAAGTGTGGTGAACGGCATTGCCTTCCTTAGTGATTCGGATTAGTTACCATTTGGATAGTCAAAAAGCCATCTTTAAAACAGACTCGACATATGATATGGCAATAGTATGCTCAATTACAAAAAAAGAGGAAACCAAAATCTAGCAAACCCAAGCCATTTAGGTTTGCCATTGCACCTAACCTCTATAAAAGAGAAAAAAATGCATTAAAATTAATTCTAACATTACATACACACTTAACAATAAATGAAATTCTTTAAAACCACCAATATCATATAAAAAGAAAACTGAATGCCCCATAATATCTTACAGATAAATACATGGCATTACCTGAAATCATTTCAGAATACTGCAACCAAAGAATACATATGGCAAAGACAAACATACATTGTAGAACCCAGCTGAAATTAATTAAAGTAACTTTATTACAATTTGTCATGTGCAGTTTCAGTCAACTAATAAAACTGAAAGCTTCTCTTCCATGTGATCTAAAAGTTTTACTGATATAGATGGTTAATACTCACATACAAACACTGCTTTCAGTGTGTCACAATTTATCATCTGCTTTATTAATTCACGGGGATTAACTATATCACATCATCAGTACATTCTAAAGAAAATGCTTATACAGATCAGCATGAGAAAGACATTTATCTTGAATCACAACATTATAGACTATACATATACAAGTACTCTAAATATAATTTATATGACTATGGAAAACAAAATTCTACAACGGTGATGTTGCCAATGAGCCAATCATGCCATTGGTGCTGAGCGCCTGTCTTTTTCTTAACTTTTGTACCTCTTGCGCTAAATCGACAGGTTTCTCAAAGAAGGACACTAGTCTCTCCTCATTGGCAATGTTGGCCAGGAACTGTTCGAAGGATATACTCCACTCTTGATGGGAAGGCTGCGAGAGGGAGGAGTGCCGGCTGGACTGGCCAGAATCATCACAGTTGTCAGGAGAGTGTCCACCTTCCTTAGCTGTCTTGTCCTGTGCCTCCTTCTCCTGAACCTCTTCTTGTTTTGTATCACTGAGGGATCCTTCTACATCAGCCCCTGAACTCTTCTGGGGTTCCTCTGGTGTGTCTATGGTGCTACTTGAACACTTGTCAGAGCCATGAGAGACCTCTTTGTTGGTCTGCTGTGAACACCATGACTCTCCCTCTACAGTGGTTGCAGCTGACATGTCTGACACTATTCCACTAGTTTTGTCAAGTTCTGTGTCACTTCCCGATGCCATTTCTCCTACATCACTTGCCTGTGGAGAAGACAGAACAGGCTGAAGTATTTTTTTAAAAACACTTGCACTATGTGCATTTTGAATGTACTAGCACTATCTGATAGGTTTGTAAGGATTGGGTCAGGTCGGGTCAGATGGGATGGGTTAGGTTAGGTTGAGTTGGGTTGGGTACAAGTTTTGGATTAGGTTAAAGTATAGGTATAAGTTTAGGTTTAGATTTAGATTTAGTGAGGTTGCAGTAGGTTAGAGTAGGTTAGGTTGCAGCTGGGTGTGGGTAAGTTGAAGTTGAGAGGGAAAATAAATCTAGCTTATTATAGATAAATATAAAAAAGATGGATAGTCAACCCCTAATTCTCACAATAGGCCACATTTATTAATTTGGTTTTATTAAACAATACAGAGGAATCTCAAGACTTTAGAAACCGTTCATGATGAAGAAAATAAAGAAATTCAGTTTGGAAATAATACAAATATCATGCACATTTACTTCATGTTTTCTACACTTCTTTTTCACACTTGAAAATAACTATTCAACACAAGTCTGTACATGCTGAAATACACAACACAAGTATCATAAAAAAGGATCACATTATGAGCAACTCATAGGTGGCAAGATGCTTGAATGACGGTGGCCTTACTCTAAAGAAAATTATAGTATTTAGAGACTCTATCTGCTATCTTACATTTCCACTGTTGGACTTCGATGACGACTCTCTCACTTTCCGCCCGACTTCCCCAATCTGCAGCAACAGTGTACCTGCAAGTAAAAGGTATGATAAATAAGTTAATCAACTTGGAGATGTCATCCATGTTAGAATACAATTGAAGGTGAATATAAAGGATGTATAATATTCCATATTTGCAATTTTCTGAGTTTTTTTCCTTCTTTCTATATACTTTTTTCAGTAACATTCATCTTTACATATCACTAATCCATCTTCTCTGTAGTCATTATGGCATGTGACACTATCATTACAAAATCCAAAACTTTTAATGCAACCTAATAAAATGGGATACACGGCTATGGAAATATGACCTCAATTTCAACACCAACTCCAACACACATGCAGTACCTGTTTTATATTTTTTTTTTCATTATATCACATGCATCTCTTTAACGAAAAAATGGCTTGCACTGATATTCAAGTTAGCACCTCTCTATGTGTTTTACTCTAGCCAAACAAACAGTAATGTTCTGTGTCCTAAATCCAAGTAGAGATAGTTGTAAAGGAGTCATTTTGTAGGATAAAAAAAGAAGAAGTATTTATCATAATAATTATGTTGGCTAAGGTTGTAAACGAAACGCAGAAGTAAAATGCCAGACATGTATCAAGTATTCCAGATCATCAATCGAACGTAAAGAAAGGCTGAAATGATAAGTATGAAAATCATGTGTATTTTGATATTAGAGGAGCATGAGAAATGAAACCTAAAATGTGAATAATTCAGAAATTAAAGCAGATGATGAGACTGGGCTGTTGATGAGAAATGGTGACAAAATAAAGAAGCGACAGAACAAGACTTGTGGGACAAAGGATGAGTCGAGACTGATGTAGCTGTGTATAAATTCCTTCTGATAGCAAGACAAAGAGAGAAATGAAAAGAAAAGAATATATATATGGATATATGCTTACATATATATATATACTTTTTTATATAGATATAGATATATTTTAATATAGATATAGATATATTTTAATATAGATATAGATATATTTTAATATAGATATAAATGTATTTTGATATAGATATATACATATAAATTTATGTACATGTATATGTATGTATGTATGTATGTATGTATGTATGTATGTATGTATGTATGTATATATGTATGTATGTATGTATGTGTATATATGTGTATATATGTGTATGTATGTGCATATATGTATATATGTGTATATATGTGTATATATATGTATATATATATATATATATATATATATATATATATATATATATATATATATATATATATATATATATATATATATATATATATATATATATATATATATCATAAAGAGAGGCACCCCTTACAAGTTCAAGTTAGAAAACACAGTACATAGTTTCTAACACATTCAGACAAGCTTTTACACAAATCTGAGACTTGTTTAATGTTATCATAGCAGTTTTCAGTTAGCAGCTAGATTTTTTTCACAGTTTTTAGATGTTCATATGTACTGTGGGAGCAAACTGTTGCAGAAATTGATTTGGTTTGAATAAAGAAAATTTTTTTTTAAAAATCACACCTAATAATAATTGGAATACTAATATAATAATATGAACATAACCCTTATCATTACCATAACTGCAATCATAAACATCAATCATTACTAATCATTATACAAAACTGAAGCTACTACACAACAAAACTCATAAAAGTTTTCAAACTTATGTTTTTTTTTCTAAATCAATCCCATTCTTTTATTTAAAAAAGAGGAAGATAAACTTAAATCACATATGTGAACTCCCGAAAATTTTGTGTGTCAAGATATAACACTAAGTTTTCTACTTAACACAGCAAACTTCTGTCTGTTTTTAAAGTTTAAAACAAGTCAAAACAAAATATTCCACTATAGCTGTTGTGAGAAGTATATGCTAATGATCAGTATTTTGTTGCTTGTTTGATCATGGCACAAATTAGCTATTAAACTTTCTACAGCATGGCATAGTTTGTATCTTTTTTGTTGAACCAGTAATGCTGCCAAAAGCTACACTGTTCTTCTTCATAATTCCTATAAATTATGTAGACATTGTTCTCTATTGTCAAATCACATAGAATTAAATAAATCTTTGTAGTGAATTACACACAAAAGCTTTCTTTTTAAATACTGTAATATAACAGTAAATGTAAACAATTACAATATACCATCAGAAAGACATTAGATAAGAATCTATCAAGAAATCACTCAAACAAGCATACTCCATGTATAAAATCTCAATGTTAATGACTCTGACACATCAAATTCTCAATGGAAGAAGAAAATGTTGCAACTCCTAGACTAAGAGGACAGAACTGCTAAAATAACAGTATGTTGAAACATCATCTTTTATTACTATGGTCATAATAAGCAGACTCTGATAGAAAGACTGGATTTTCAATTTTCTAATTATAAGAATATCTGATCACTTGAGCAAGTGTAGTCCAATTTATATATGCTGTTTATGATGCCATGAATTGTAACCAAGGACCATGCGCTGTGTTAGCTAGAGTGGAATGCAAAGGCAAAGAAATCAATGAAAAATGCGGTGAAAAGCCTCTGGGAAGTGGAGCTGGAAGGGTGATCAGAGACAGGAGTCTCACCTGACGACTCAACTTAGCATTCAGGGTGAATCATTGAGATGTGGAAAGCCTTTGTACACTTTGTGACACTGCCTTTACTTGGTCGAGGATGAGAGGTGAATACATTGTCAAGTTGTAAACACTTGAGAACACTCCCAAATGAACCATGGAAATTTGGGTCTATTGGAATTTGGCATCTCTACAGATAGGACAGATCTGCATGATTGCTGTATTCACTTTAATTGGAATGATGGGGCTGAGCTGTCAGCTAAGGCTCAGTCACTTTCACAAAATATTAGAAGTGACAGTAATATCCAACACTACTTGCATCAATAACGAAACTCTCGTGTTTCTTACCACACACCACAATGTTATATTCTGCAAGAAATTTTTGCAAGTCGTCATATTATGCTAATTTGTTCAGGTCACAAAGCAATATCTATTCACAGCAACATATCAAAAAACTGTCTATTGAATTTACGAGGCAAGGGAAGATTTTCACATTCATTACTATATTTGGGTTTACAAATATTGAAGAAAGGGGATATAAATATGTATATATAAATGAAAATAAAACATTTTCTACCTACCAACTCTTGACAGTGAAGTGAATATGTCTTGGTTGGTCTCGAGTGCAAAGAAGCTGTACACAGATCGCCACATGTTGATGAACTGTTCTTGGTTCATGGTTGGTAAAAAGCGCTGCTCATACATGCGGTAGTCACGGTTGTGTATTGTTGCCAGACCTGTCAAGGCATCGCAGTATTCTGAAAGGATTCAATTGTAAAAATCAATGCACTGGATATGGTATCTTTCTAAATAATGCTTGTTATTACCAATGGTTATCCTGTGCTTAATCAATTCATTTGGATCTTATTGGTCTTCATTAATTACATTTTCTTGTAGTTGGGGTATAATTATATCACTAACCAAGTCCCATCCAGAATGAGAATTTATTGACTACAAGATTCATAATCATTAAAATCTGTAAATGTGGGGTAAAGGCAAGAACTGCAATATTTTCTGACTATCAATCACTAAATTTTCATCCTACTGAATCAATTTTTGCACACTTTCCTGACCTACAAAATCAATATCA